ATTGTTTTCTAAAATAATGATTATACTAATTGCGCCGAGGAGTGCAAGTCGGGCGCGCATCCTAAGTCGCTCCGCGGTTTCGAGGTCTAATATTTCTCCCACCAAGTGGACTGGTCGTACGCCGTCGATGCTCGAACTACGACGAGTTTTGGTCGCCGCCGACTTGCGCTCTCTCGGCGCAACTAGTATGGAACAAAATTTAACTACACGACAACACGGATTCGGTAAGACATAACTACGTAAGTGCAAAAATATTTTATTATTTTATTACCTAGTACCTATACCGGCTATACCTACCCAATTATCCCGTGACAGATGACAACATTATGTAAAATAGAATGCAATTTCTATATGTCTCCTCCGTTATAATATTATATTTATAGACACTTTTTTCGGTAAATTGGAATTGAGTAGGTATACCCAGTGGTTGAATTGGGGGAGGACGCAGGGGGACTGAACTACTCTTCATTTTACTTCAAATTATAGCGTACCCCTTTAATATATTCATCATCAAAGAATAGAATAATAGGGTTATTATTAAATTAATTTGCTTAATTATTCAACTTCATTTAGAGTCCACCTTTATTTTTTTTTTCCAATTCAACCACTGTAGGTAGTAGGTACCCTCCCCCCAAAAAAAAACTCCACTATAATAAGTTATAACATTGGCTAAATGGCTTCTCTTTACTTCTTTAGTTGCCAGATCAGTGATTACTAAACGTGTATACTGTATGTCTGTATATGGATAATCATACACCATAGTATTTAGTAGGTACTATTAATAGTAATTAATTTAAATAATAATATTGTCATGTCTTATTGTGATATACGGGCATGCGGCGACGATACACTGTAACTCGAAGTGGAGCCTATATATTAGCTGGTATACTAAATTATAGAAATAGCTAGATTATATACTACGGTCTTTACGGCCCAAGAAAGGAATTATTTTTAGATTCTGAACGAAATGATGAATGTATTGATTTTACAATGATGTGTTTTTTTTTTTTGTGCCCGTGTACAGCATAACTAGTCGAAATAATGCTTCAATTTCAAACTTTGGGGGTGGTTTTCCAACATTTTCCAACAGTTTTCAAAAAAATCGAGAAAAACAAAAAAAAAGCGGGTAAGTGGATGTCGCTCTGCTGTACATTAGGTGGTGGGGTGGACCTTGGACCTCTGACTAGGGTAGGTTAGATTTGAATGCAATGATAGGTATCATTGTATACGAAAAGTCGAAAAACGATTCTGAACGGAGATGATTTGTCAGTYTAKGATATATTATATTTAAATATTGTCATATATYCTATTTTGAAACAAATATTTTATTTTTCAATTAGGACGCATTTTGCATAATAAGGCATGGTTAATCAATTTTTCCAAAAACATTGCATGTAGTTATCATAATCCATAATACCTTATATTATCATAGATATACATATACCTGGTTTGAGGATAAATCGTTATCATTACGCAATTTCATAAAAAGTTAAAACTCAAACGCTCAAATCATTTTACCTATAATGACGCTTCAAATTTTCTCTATAGCTATTTGAAGCAAAACTTTTTGAAGTATCGATACAATTTTTTCGGTCCTATCAAAATATTTGAAAATTTAATACAAAGTTCCTCATTAGTTATTCTTATAGTGATTAAAAAATTATAAGAATACTTAGGCACAATTTTTTTTTATTAGCATTTGAAGTTCAAATATTGACAAAAATTCGTCAAAACCATGAATATTTACAAATTATTATGTAGTTCAAAATTCATAAAATTGTTTGTATTTATATCTAAGGTTATGAAATTCAACATTAAGTTTTCCATAAGTTTTGCTCCTCGTCCCCTAAATTTGTACATCAATGACGAAACATGTATTTTATGCTAATACAGAAATAAAAAAAGCGGGTAAGTCGTGACTCGTGGATGTCGCTCTGCTGTACAGTAAGTTACAAGTGGGTTACTGTAATGGATGGAATTAAATTTGAATTCAATGATATTATATCATTGTATACGAAAAACGATTCTGAGCGGAAACGGTTTATCTGTCTAGGATATAATATTATAGATTATTAAAAATTTCCAAATCTTATATTTAAAAAGAAAAATTTTTATGAATTTTCTAGCTTAAAATAATTTGCGAATTTTCGTGATTCTTACGTATGTTGTCAAAATTAAAATTTCTTTCTTTAATTTTTCAACTGCTACTGTAAAAATATGTTAGGAGCTTTGTATTTAATTTTAAAATCTTAAATTTAAAAAGAAAAACTTTTATGAATTTTTAATTAAGATAATTTGAACATTGCCGTAATTATTACGTATTTGAACGGTTGCTATTTGAAGCAAAACTTATGGAAAACTTAGTGTTGGATTTTTAACCTTAGATATAAATACCAACAATTTTATGAATTTTGAACTACAAAATAATTTGCAAATATTCATGGTTTTGACGAATTTTCGTCAAAATTTGAACTTTAAATGCTTATAAAAAAAAATCATGCATATGTATTTTTAACATTTTTCAACTGCTATTGTTACAATGTGTTAGAATCCTTGAATTAAATTTTCAAGCTTTTCTACCTAAAAAATACGTTTTTATCGATATTTATAGAAAAAAAACTAAAAAAGTTGAAAAATTAAAATGTCAGTAAACAGCTCAAAACAAATTTAAATATTTTGAA